AGGTGTGGGGGAGGGGTTAGGATTAGGGGTGGGGTTGGGATTAGGCAATCAGGTAGCAATTTCAACGAGGGGGGTAATAATTTGGCAGGGAGTCGAAAATGGGCACAACACCGGCGCTCACCACGAACAGCGCCCTGCAGCCGCAGCACACCAGCGCTATGGCGTTCCGATGGGATCTTTAATATGACATTGTAACATGCACTCAATGTCTCAATGAAAGTGACGTCTGCGTCTGTCGAACGTGACATCTGTGTCTGTCGAACGCGACGTCTGCATCTGCCACATTACAGTTCGTCTGCATGAACGTGACGTCTGCGTCTGCCACATTACAGTTCATCTGCCTGAACGTGAGTCTGCGTCTGCCACATTACAGTTCATCTGCATGAACGTGAGTCTGCGCCTGCCACATTACAGTTCATCTGCTTGAACGTGACGTCTGCGTCTGCCACATTACAGTTCGTCTCCCAGCTGTGGCGTAGCAAGTCAGCCCCTGGCCCATATGCAAAAAAATTTTACGCTCTTTAATTTGTTGAGATAATTTGCCAGCAGTGGCATATGAATCAATGATATTTTCCTCTTTAATATTTGCAGCACGAAATAAACATGATTATTTGAATGCATGTTTAAAAAATCTGAACAATTTAAGTCAAACGAATGTCTCATGAAATCGATCAATCAGAATTTTAAAAAATGTCAATAAGTCTACGTTTTATTGCTGTTTTCCATGTTAAATATGAAGAATGACAGGTTGGATGCCACAGACTTTTTTTTTTTTTTGGCGGAGAATAGGTGGAATTTTCACATTAACTTCACACAATATATAATATAATATAATATAATCTTTTTCTTTTACTATATTCCTAAAATTTTATGACGTATATTTTTAGTTATTTTTCAACGTGGCACTAAAATGCCGCCGTAGGCTATTTGTAGTGAATGCAAACACAATTTTGGCACAGCGGCCAAAAAAAAAACAACAAAAGAAGTAAAAAATAAAAATAATAATAAATAGTGAGGGGATATTTGAATTATTCGTTAATAAACTAGTGTTTTCTGAGTCAGTGTCACAAAGATGAATTTGTCGATCCTGAACTCGCCATCTCCTCAACTGGATGCGCCTTTAGAGAGAAATGCCTCTTTACGGATTACATTATGAATGAGTTTTTGTTTTCGATTTGAATAATTTCGTTTTAAAGTAGTAATTCAAAGCATTTTATAGATATGTTTATCATATCTATGAGGCAAGTATTCGCTGAGTTTCGGTTCATTTTTGTGAAGCCCTCCTGCTCAAGTCAGAGACACAAAATGCGCATCCTGATTGTTTTCCTGTTTGTTTTTTTGTTTTTTTACAAAAGTAGTTTTTTTTACGTTTTCTCGATATTGTGAGTGCACACAAATAAAAGTAGGCCCTTTGCAGTTCTGAATGATGTATACTCTTACCTTTATGAGCAAAAATGACGTAAGCGTATTTTTTAGTTACCACTGTTATTAAGAAAAAAAAAATTAGATTGCGCTGGCGCCTCCATGTCCAGCAAAGCGCTTCAGCTTCCAATCTCCGCACAGACGATCAGATATGCACCTAATAGCGCACATTTATCTAGGTTAAATTTTTTTATTAATATGGTGAAAAGCATTAAGTGTTTTTTTTATCCATAGATTTTATTTTAGGCAAGTCGTGTTGATTTGAGAAGAAGGCTAGATTGATCAAACATATGCTCATGGCGCTTCCTGCCGCTGGACGCTTGGTCATTCCTTTAAAAAACAAAAACTTGAATTTAACAAACATAAAATGTTCCAAACATATTTCTAAATTAAATTAATAAAGAAACGAAAAGAAATATGACCACTTTGCCATTAAGGGTGTATTCACACCTGTCTTGTTTGGTTAGATTGAATCGAACTCAAGTTCGTTTCCCCTCTTGGTGCGGATCTTTTTGGCAGGTGTGAGTACAGCAATCGCACTCGGGTGATGACCAAACAACCGTACCGAGACCCAGCTGAAGAGGTGGTCTCGGTCCGCTTCCAAACGAACTCTGCTACGGTTCGTTTAAGGTGTGAATATGACCCGACCATGTTATTTCTATTTCTATTCTTTTTTTTAAATGTTAAATTGTTAAAAAATTAACCCTCTAACACTAGCATTGTATATTCTATTTCTATTCTTTTAAAAAAAATTTAAATTGTTAAAAAATTAACCCTCTACCACTAGCATTGTCTATTCTATTTCTATTATTTTAAAAAAATGTTAAATTGTTAAAAAATTAACCCTCTAACACTAGCATTGCCTATTCTATTTCTATTATTTTTAAAAATGTTAAATTGTTAAAAAATTAACCCTCTAACACTAGCATTGTCTATTCTATTTCTATTATTTTAAAAAATGTTAAATTGTTAAAAAATTAACCCTCTAACACTAGCATTGTCTATTCTGTTTCTATTATTTAAAAAAAAATTTAAATTGTTAAAAAATTAACCCTCTAACACTAGCATTGTATATTCTATTTCTATTTTTTTTTTTTTTTAATTAAATTGTAAAAAAAAATTAACCCTCTAACAGTAGCATTGTCTATTCTATTTCTATTTTATCTTCTTGTTTTCTTTGTATTACTTTTTTATTACCTTTTACTTTTTTCTATTGTTTTCTTTTTATGACATCTGCTAAATTACTAAATGCTATGCCAATGTAAATGTAAAGCTTAACAGATCATTAGAGACGCAGCGCTGATTATGTCCATCATTAAAAGCTACTTGACTGAAGAACCTGTAAGCGCTGCATTCATATGTGAAAATCATGACCAATTCAGTGCCATTCACGGCAAATTACACCGGGCCAGACTGAGACCGGAAAATGTGTTTGAACAAGAATTTGCCTTTGAAATATTGCAAAGTTATTTACATTTTTTAGAAATGGTCACACTGGTCCTTTAGAGGTCTGTTCGGGTTCATGGTCTCAAGAACATTTGGAATAATTTTTGTCTCTCGTTTCCACTTGTCTAGTCCAGTGTTCTTCAGCCGAGTCATATTATTATATTACTATGTTGTTTATAATAAGACCAGAACATTAAAGTGGCCTGCGGTCAGTTCAGTACTGTTCAATAACTGCTTTGTTTTCTGAACATAATTTAGAATTGAAAATACGACAGTACTTGACCTCTATGGAGAATGATTAAGTCTAACCCAGATGAGAGAGGGAATCCCACGCCTGCCTTCATTCTAGAGCCGACCTTTGAACCACTGGTGCTGTAAGATCTGCTCTAACGTCGGCCGCTTTGCTGGACTGCGGTTTAGACACTGGCCAATCAGATCACGGCATGCTGTAAGAGTTTGGAGGAGACGTGTATGAAAATACCTTCTGATAATTTAAGCTATATGGAAACATTAGCATGTGTTTATCAGTATCTGTTTCCTCACCGACGGATACGCTGGACTTCCAAGAATTAGGAGAGGCTTTCAATGTTTCCTGGACGTGGGAAAAGGGCAGCCGCCTGTTCACCATCAAATACAGCGTAGTGCCCAGAGCCCAGACGTTTGTTGGGACGGCGTAGTATTTGGGCTCCGACAAAGCCTCTGGCGGACAGTACTCTACTGCTCCTGCAAGCAAGAACATTTCATTTCCCGCACTTAGTTTTCCAATATTTTCCAATACTAAATAAATACAAAATGCCAGCTCACCTAAATATTTCCAGCTGTCGTAGCCTGCGCCCTCAAGCAGGTGAGCGGCGCCGAAGTCAATCAGCTTCAGCTCCAGAGTATCTGTGTTCACCAGGATGTTGTCAGCGTGGATGTCGTTGTGAAAAACGCCGTGGTCTATGCAGTGCTGCACCGCCAGGACTAACTGGCGCATTAAGCTGCATGCGATCAGTTCGATCAGTCCTGACGAATCCTTGATGAACTTTCGCAGGACCATGCATGGTTGAGGGCACTCCAGAACAAGAGAGAAGATCTTGGGCCGATCAAACCACTCGTACATTTGAATGACGTAGGGGCTTACTGGAGGACACCTCAACATGAGCATCAGCGTCACTTCTCTGGGCAGAGGTATGGAACAACCAGGCTAGAGGAAAAGACAACAAACGGTTAGTTAGCTATCCACCTTTGGTGGAAGTAAGCCTATGGGCGAGATTTCTGGTTCATTAGCCGCTGTAGGGAAATAACGAGGAGAATAACAACATGCAGTAAACGGTAAAACTGTTTGCACTACAAACCAGTGTGTTCATAATTAAGATAATACATTAAAATAATATGGTAAGACACACCAATTTTCAATATCAAGCAGCAAAACAAACTGTTTTGTACAGCTAAAAATAGCTGGACGCAGATGAGACCAGAAGCTAGACCCATAGAATTTACAAATGGCCACGCCCATTTTTACACAGGAAACAGGCGGAGAGATTTTACAATTCTTTAGTATTTTTTAGAGCCTCTTTGGAACTTCTAGGCTTTACCTTTTACTTTTATTTGTGGTGTGTTAACTACAGTAACTACAGTAAAAACCCTTAAGGTGCGGTCACATTAGCAGAAAAGAAGATTCCCTATTGTCTATATGTATAAAGTACAGCGAAATTTCGCAGAGAAGCAGTTTGTGCGCACTTTTAAATATGTCAACTAAATATGTATTCTTTAATCTTTGCCAACTTACAATTTCAAGATAACGGCTGTTGTTCCATTTGCACAGTCTTTTGATGGCAACCTGCAAAGAGATGAAAAATAGTTTATTATGTACTTTATTTTAAACATACATATTTGAATGGAGTGGACATGGTTCTCTACATAAGGATAATGTTCAGTGAAAGCATGTTACCTCTTGGCCGTTGGATTTTCGTATTGCCTTGAACACCTTGCCGAAGCTTCCCTTTCCTATCAAATCCTGCAGTGTGTATAAACTGTACAGAGATTCTGAAAAACACAAGAGGTTGCAGGATTACAGGTCTTATATAATAGCACTGCTGGAATATGTCTCTTAAACAACGAGCAAACTATATGTACATGGTTAAAGTTTACATGTTAGGTGATATCAGAATTACAAACTAAAAATAATAGAAAATAAGGGTAGAGCTGACATCACACTCACCAGTAGTTGGCTCCCAATTAGGAAGACCTGGGGCAGATGCCGGCTCGGTGTCAGGCACGTTCTGGAGCCCAGAGGGGCCCGGGACAGACGCTGGTTCGGGATTGGACTCCACTCTTGTCCGTCTGCAACGGAGGAACGGCTTCATAACGGCTTTCCACGCTCTCTTGAAGAAGGCATGGATTCTGCTCCTCCTGTTGCCTCGAGTAGGAATTTCTTCATTGAAGAAAAACAAAGAGGAAAGTATCAGAATCAGAATGAGCTTTATTGCCAAGTATGTTTGCACATACAAGGAATTTGTTATAGTGTCACAAGCTTCCAGTACACGGAGACAACAACAACACACAGATAATAAAAATGAGATGTGAATAAAATACACATGCATAAATATAAACCACAAAAAAAAGAATAAATTGTATGTACAGGTGTGCTATAGATGGAATAGGAATAGAATAAATAAATTAAGTTGTAGGGATGTACTAGGGTTTAGGGTGATAAATAAGTATAAGGTTATTGCACATACTGTACTTTAATTGCACAATGGGAGAACATTAACTGTTCATGAGGTAGATTGCCTGGGGAAAGTATTAGACCACATACAGTATCTGACCACAGATTAAACATCAAAAGGTGTCTATCTAGTGCATGTTAACATAGAAAACAATGAAAAAGCAGCTCAGTGGAATTCAGAAACGTGTTTTGTGTGAACGGTGCATTACAGCTGCAACCCCTTATGAAAATTAACCATGGTTCCTATAGGTAAACCATGGCAACCACAAATTAACCATAATTTTGCTATACTAACCATAGTTTAACTATGGTATTTGTAGTAAAACTGTGGTTATACAAATGGTAATTTTCATAACTAATCAATAAAATATGTAATGCAAATATTTGACTACAATATTTGTCACAAAAAAAATAATGCAAGTATTTCCCGGCAATAAAATGTGGCTTATTTTATAATGAGATGAAAGTTCAGTAATACTAATCGGACCTGTTGGGCTGTTCTCAGCAGAAGGCAGTGCACTCACTGCTTCTGCTTCTGCTTCTGAAGCCCTTGTTGACTCCACAGGCTGCTGGGAGTCAGCTGGCAGTGAATCAATCAACTCTTCGATCCACTGACAGAAGCCGCTGCAGAAGCTGATGTTATCCAGCCACGGAGCCGCTTCTGTCTCGTGAACACCGGCCTTAGGCTCGGACTCAGACGCTGTGCACATCTTGATGCCGAGAGTGGACGAACTCTGTGTAGACTTAGTTTGTACTTTATGCGTTTCTGTCTGCAGACTTTCGCAAGTAGAGTTTTTCTACCGCTCTGCAATCTCCCTCAAGTGACAATCTCCACAAACGCTCAGATTCTCACTATCACCAACTGTGAGGCGAGTCAGACGACTCTGCGAGAATGCGCTTAAAAGGGACCGGCGAGTGACGTCATCGCGATGTTCGAACGTTCCAAAATGGAACGCAAAAGAGCGGAAGTCTCATAGCGCATTTTTTAAAAGCTGATTTTTTTTTTGTCACGCTCCACCATTACAGTAGCTGATGGACGAGACGCTTCAAAATATGTATTAAGCCGGTCGCACACAGGACGGGAAGCGCAGCGCCGCGTCGCGTGCGTCTAATGAAGTTCTGAGCTGCAAGGTGGGTGAGTTTTAACTTCATTTATTATCATTATTTATTTATTTATTTTGATTGATAATAGCTGAGTTTTAACATTAATCAAAGAAAATAATCTGTATTATGTTAAGTCTGTTACTGTTTTGTTGTAGGCTATCTGTTGTCTAGGGCTAGGCAACTGTTACACAGTAGCAGTATTATTTGTTTAGCTAACGTTTTAGCTAGCCAGCATGAGTGAAAACGTAAACAAACACCTTGTAAAGTTTTTATTTAAATGAAACAAATGTAGTGTATTTTAGTTTAGGTTTCAGTTTATAGTATCTATTTTTTTATATATATATTTTTTTAATTTTCATGGTAATAAAGAATATTCACTTCTAAATGATGCACTATGTATTTCTTACATAAAATAATCTGATCTGATCTGATGAATATAAAGAGTATCATAGATAATACCATGGTGTGGCCACTGAATGTTTGTATAGTCCTAGATATAAAAATATACAGGGCTGTGTATTCCCTAGTTGCCAAGAACAATGCATCAGACATAAATGTGGGTATATAATTAACTTATGTAACTTACAGTATTATTAAGGTTTTTGTACGAATACCCTGTTCTTCCCAAACAGATCAAATTTTGTCTGACAACCAAAAAAAAAACTGCTGCACTGCTACTTTTACATCGTAGAATACAAAAAAAGTCAATCGCATTTGGGTACACCCTCTAAATGAAAAAAAGGATTCAATATGGCGCTTACCACCACCTTGTTCAGGAGCTGCGAATAAACCCGGAAAAGCACCTGCAGTACTTCAGAATGAGTACACAGCAAATGGAGGACCTGCTGTCAATTATTGGACCTGACATCACAGGGATGTCTATTAATTGGGCCAAAGGAAAAACTTGCAGTGACACTGAGGTAAGCAATTTTCCATTTAACCTATTTGTATATCTGATTTACACTGTAATAATATTATGTTGTTGGAAGAAAGAAGAAATGATTTCAAAACAATAATCCTTTAAATAGATTTTACCATGTGAGCCATATGACAAGACAGCACAGTAATGCACACATGGATACTTTTAATAAAAATTATTGCAGTAACAGTATCAGTTATGTAATCTAAAACATAAAACAGGATTAGGAAACTATTTCCAAATCAATCAAGACAGACAGACAAATAAATAAATACATATAAATGTATTAACTACATCTCATTGAACTATAACTATGAATATGGCACAAGATATGTTGAGGAAGCTGAGGTTGCCACGATATTTTAATGTGGAGCATTCCAGCTAGCAAACAGTGGTGGTCCTGTGTGGTAACTAAGCACACCTGGCCCTTGATGTGCCTGACTCTGTGCATCCAGGTCATCCAGGATACGTAGCATCTCTATTTTGGCTCTGGTTTGTTCTCTTTTTCCCAAAGATCTCATTTGAGGTGCTAAACGTAGAAGGAAAAGCTCTCTTTCGTCATGTTGTTTTGGTGGCACTGTAGGTGTTACTAAAAAGTACATAAGTTTTTCATTAATTTGTGTGTTTGGACTTTTTGGGTTGTCTCTTTTTGTTTTTTTTCTGGGTCTCTGGGGACATTCTAGAAATTCTTCTCTTTCAGTCCCTGCTGTCTCCGGTACTGGGCTTTCCTCTTCTGGAGTCATTTGTGTGTCTAAATCACCTTCATGGATCGACCCATCCATATGGTTTTCGAAATCCACATTACTGATTGTACTGGGGAAAAGACAGAGGGACAAATAAGAGCATGCACAGTTTAGTACCATTATTTTTCTACCATTAAAAGTCTACTTCAAGTCAAACTTTAGTCACTTGCACTCTTTTTTACAAAGTTAATTTGAAGTGCATTAGTACAAATTACTACATTACAACAATTACTAAAAAGTATTACCTTCTATTTTGTAGAAATACATTCAGGAAGGAAATCGCTGCAGCATATTTCCATTCCTGTTGACACAATGCTCCAGAGCCACTTGGCAACTGCTGTTTTTTTTTCACTTGATGTAGTTGTCTCGAAGTGAATTCCATCTTGCCCTGCACTCATTTTCTGTGAAGAGATAGAAATTAATGTTTATATTAATGTTTGTTTTACAGGTATCTGGCCTCAGGAAATTCAATCAGAACGCTTGCCTTCCACTAGAGAGCACAGTGGCTAAAGCCATCAAGGACACATATGCTGCAATTAACAGGCGCATGATGGATACACACCTAGCAAGACCTACTGAGCAGGAGTGGAGGAATATTGCCTCAACGTTTTCAACTAGGTGGAATTTCCCTAACTGCATAGGAGCGATAGATGGGAAGCACATCCTCCTCTTTGCACCACCTCATTCAGGCAGCCTTTACTTTAATTACAAAAAACATTCCCTGTAGTATTATTGGCTGTGGTCGATGCTGAATATGCTGAATATCTAGTGCATATTGGCGAGTATGGACGGTCAAGTGATGGGGGTGTCTTTGCAGGCTCAGCCATAGGGTAGGCACTGGATGCAAAAAAGCTGGAGGTGCCAGATGATCAGCAGCTACCAGGAGCAGAGCATCTGGGGAACATGCCATTCACCATTGTTGGGGATGCAGCCTTACCCTTATAGATATATATATATATATACATACGTAGATTCCTCATTAGCGACGGTTTCTATGGGTTGCGATACGCAAGTCGTCAGCCATATTGTAATGGTCAACTTGACATCATTCACCATAGTAACCAATGAATATTCGAAGATGCCACAGTCCTGCACAGCCGATGGTCTGTGAACCCATAGTATGGTGAATGACTTCAAGTTGACCGTTCCAAGATGGCGGACGCGTCTACGTGCTTGGAGCGGTCGAATGGGGCATCTATACATATCTATGCTTACCCTGGTCGAGACTTATCCACACAACAACGCATCTTCAACTACAGATTGTCTCGAGCACGCAGTGTGGTGGAAAATGCCTTTGGCATTTTGTCATCTCGTTGGAGGATCAACATACAAATAAACAGCCTTATTTTGTCGGCGTGCATCCTTCACAACTTTCTTCTCAAGCCAATGGAAGTAGAGAGGTGGCTAAATACCAGTGCTCCAACTACTAGACCTACACAGTTTGAGACAAATTCTGCTCTTTTCCACTCTGAAGGACATGTATCTTGGCAGATTGAAATGGTGTAATGGTCACTATGGGCCTGTTTACACCTGGTCATTTCATGCGTTTTCGCTGATCGGATATCTATCTGATTTGTTAAAACGTTTCCATTTACACTTGGCCACATAAATGTGTCGTCGCAAAACGGATATAAATCCGATCTTCAATTCCCGTGCTATATTTAAATTTAACGGAGTTCACGTCAACGAAATCAAAAGATAAGCGCTGCAATTATCAGCTCGTTTCAAGAGCAAAGACCGCAATAGGAGAGCGAGCGGCATCAGCACTGGAAAGATAAGTTTGTCTTACTACTTTTAATGAAGATGATTGTGTGTTGACTGTCTTTGTGCCGGTATTCGGTAATGCGATATATCACGGTAATGAATATGCACGATATTGTTATCGTGGGCACTTCTAAATACCGTGAATAATTATATATTACAGAATTTGATACCGGCATATCCCTAGTGTTGAACGTCTGCGTCTTTTCTGATAGCTATCCGATCAGAAAAAACGCATGAAGTGACCAGGTGTAAACAGACCCTATAGTGTTGCTTTACTGACTTTAATTATTTAATTGATTTTAGATTTGATCACTTCCTACTGTAGATATCGTACACCTGCTTAGCTCATAATTTAGTCTCTGCATTCATATTAGATTGCCATTCATCAATTATTAGCATTGTTTTGTATTATTACAAGCAATTTCAAAAATTTTTAATGCTGTAGCTATTACATGATTTGTTTGCTCAATAAAAACATAGATGCTACATATTTTTTTTGTGTAAGGTATGCTTATTTCTTTCTTAAATTTAATTATAGTCATTCCTGTTGAGGTAGATTATTGGGGTCTTAATTCAACATGAGGATTTGTTTACTTAAAATAACATAATTGTCAATTTGTGATCAACATTGTTATTTTTAAGGACATTATGAAATAAAATAATGTCTGTAGTGTACGTTATTTTATGATTGTACTGTACAATTACATACAGTTGTTGCTAACGTCTGTCACTGAACATTTACCTCAGATCGTATGTTAACAGCATTAGAGATTCTTACCTGAAAAATCTTCCTGAGATTGACCTCCTTATGTTTTCTTTGAAGAATCTATGGTTTGTTGCATATAATTCTGAGTATTTTCCTATACTTCGTTGATGAGTTTTTCGTCGTCTTTAAACTTTAAAGTCTGTTTTTTCATAAACTATTTTGCATTTTTTTAGAAAAATATTTTTTACAAGAATGGAACACAAATAAATGCTTACATTGTTGCCAAAAATCACAGACACTATGCACATTTTGTTAATAATTTAACAAGTGCAAACTCAGAGATGTGCCTCAGGGACATGACAAAATGCTTGGTTTAAGATAGATAGATTATTTTATGCTAAAAAATATTAAAATGCAATAATTTTTTTTTTAATCCATTATAATGGGCATCCCAAAGTTTTGTGAAAAGCTTCTAACAATTAATTTTGGTGAACCATCGCTTTAGAAACTGAGATATATTTGAGACAAGATCATTTTGTCGAGGTTTAGGCATCCTTATGTGGCCACGAGTTTCTAGCAGAAATGGAGATAACATAAATAACATTTTATTTTTATTAAATTATATTATATTGCGTAAGATCTTAGCATTGTTTTGTATTATTACAAGCAATTTCAACATTTTTTAATGCTGTAGCTATTACATGATTTGTTTGCTCAATAAAAACATAGATGCTACATATTTATTTTGTGTAAGGTATGCTTATTTTTTTCTTAAATTTAATTATAGTCATTCCTGTTGAGGTAGATTATTGGGGTCTTAATTCAACATGAGGATTTGTTTACTTAAAATAACATAATTGTCAATTTGTGATCAACATTGTTATTTTTAAGGACATTATGAAATAAAATAATGTCTGTAGTGTACGTTATTTTATGATTGTACTGTTCAATTACATACAGTTGTTGCTAACGTCTGTCACTGAACATTTACCTCAGATCGTATGTTAACAGCATTAGAGATTCTTACCTGAAAAATCTTCCTGAGATTGACCTCCTTATGTTTTCTTTGAAGAATCTATGGTTTGTTGCATATAATTCTGAGTATTTTCCTATACTTCGTTGATGAGTTTTTCGTCGTCTTTAAACTTTAAAGTCTGTTTTTTCATAAACTATTTTGCATTTTTTTAGAAAAATATTTTTTACAAGAATGGAACACAAATAAATGCTTACATTGTTGCCAAAAATCACAGACACTATGCACATTTTGTTAATAATTTAACAAGTGCAAACTCAGAGATGTGCCTCAGGGACATGACAAAATGCTTGGTTTAAGATAGATAGATTATTTTATGCTAAAAAATATTAAAATGCAATAATTTTTTTTTTAATCCATTATAATGGGCATCCCAAAGTTTTGTGAAAAGCTTCTAACAATTAATTTTGGTGAACCATCGCTTTAGAAACTGAGATATATTTGAGACAAGATCATTTTGTCGAGGTTTAGGCATCCTTATGTGGCCACGAGTTTCTAGCAGAAATGGAGATAACATAAATAACATTTTATTTTTATTAAATTATATTATATTGCGTAAGATCCTTGTGACAGCATTCAAATGAAGTTCTCATAATTTGTTTTTATTAATATATAAAGTGTTAAGAATACATAAAATAATACAAACAGGACATTATTATTATTATCATCATCATCATATATTTTTTTTAATACACTACTGATCATTTGTTCAGGTGTTCATGTTGTTCAAATTGGGCTTCATAAGACCTCAATACATTGTCAGGAGCCACAGGTATTAATTTTGTCTTGCCTGGTATGCATGTTTTGACTCTCAAATGCTGGTAGCTGCTAACTTGCATTTTATGAATCACCAAGGACCACGACTTAAGCTAAAAAAAATCTTCTTTACTGTTGAAGAAAAAATCACCTACATCTTGGATGGCCTGAGGGTGAGTACATTTTTATTTTCGGGTGATCTATCCCTTTTAGCAAGTCCAGCTGTTCATTTTCTCATTCATTCATGATTCTTCAATGTGCCAATAACCTGCCCGCTAAAAGCTGCGCTTGCTGCAATAAACAATATAACAAAATTATGACGCTAAATTCACAATTGTCATGTTTGGTCAAAATGTTTTGGTCAGTGCATGCTAATGTAAAATATGACTCATGTTAATGGCAGGTGTAAGGAGGGCTGTGTCAGCTTCAAGTCTTCAGTTCTGTAGTTTTGACCTGTATTGCATCACTGTTTACGAGCAGGCAGACAGGAGCATATACAGCAGTAGCAGATAAAGTCTGTGTTTGCTGACAGCTGCAGGTGAAAGTTCAGTGCTTTGTGTAAAGAGCTGAACTGTATTTTTCATCTGCCATCTCTTTCACGGCGCTCTAGCAGAAGTGTTTCAGAAATACAGAGATGAGGACGCAGTCTTTGCTCTTGGTGTGGTTGGTGTGTGTGTTCTGGCAGCACGGCAGCGCCTCCCTCATGACCGCTGAATGCCAAGGCGCCGCTGTGCTGAAGGCCGCCGAGGAGACCCTAGAGCAGATAAACGCAGACAGACAGGAAGGCTATGTCCTCTCACTCAACAGACTTTATGATGTCAAACAGGACATAAAGGTGAGTGTTCATACTAGTGTGGATGCATTGGAGTGAAAACGGCAGTGGTGAATAAAGGAAAAAACTTGTATGAAATCTTGCAAACAGTGTATGATAAAGGGTTAATTGACCCCAAAATAAAAATTCTGTGATCATTTACTCTCTCTCTAGTTGTTTCGAACCTATATGAGTTTCTTCCTTCTGCTGAACACAAAAGGTGATATTTTAAAGAATGTTGGTAACCAAACAGTTGCAGGTAGCCTCCATAGTAACGGACAAAAATACCGTTTGGTTACCAACATTCTTCAAAATATCGTCTTTTCTGTTCAGCAGAAGAAAGAAACGCTTACAGATTTGGAACAAGATGAGGATGAGCAATAATTTTTGGGTGAACTATCCCTTTAAGTAGAGTTAAAATGGTAAAATCGGTTAAAAAGTTAATAACATCTACATCTTGTGTCTTCCGTATATACAATTTTAAACTACCTTAATTATCATTTAATTTTGTTGAATTATTTACTTTTTTTTTTTTTTCAAACAAAAAATGTTTCCTGAATATATTTTAATATTGATTTTATGACTTTTCAAATTGTCTGTACATGGGTCAGAGACGTTAAGATGTCCGCATTAAAAATGTCCATAGAAAGCACATTAAATGTAAGTAAAGTGTCTACTTTTAAGGTTTCAAATAAGTTTTTGGAGAATAAAATGTTAAAATTTGGTTGAAATAATGTTACATTGTCATTCAGTGTAACACAATAGTAATGTAAAAATTCAAACAACATGCTTATTATGACGTGTACATATTAAAATATATAAAAGAATAAAGGAGCATATTAAATTTTACTGTGTTTTATATGAGTAAAAAATTCTTACTGACAAATGGGCAAAGCCTAGGATAGTGGCAAACTAATTAGTATTTGGGGTGAAAGTAATTAGGTTTTTAATGTGTCATAAATAGATTTTTGTTGTAAATATGCCTGACAAGATTGTTACACTGAATGACATTTTAGTGGGTGTCTTCTGTAAATCAGGGAAAAATGTATGATATTTATTTTTTGCTCAGAAAAACAAAAACAAAATTGCAATTAAATTAAACAGAAAACTTTTTAATTTTGGGGGGGAAAAACAACAACAATTTAAAGCAGTATTACACTTATTGTTTTTATGCTTAAACCCTTTTTCGTCTTTGACCCACATATATTTTTTTGCTGTCTGATCCTCTTCACGGGTTCATACATGCTGTTTTGTTAAAATACACTGTATTAAGCAACATGAATGATTGATTGATGCCCGTGGTGGAGGGAATTGCATGCTGCAGCATTAAAATTAACCTGTGTGTATAGAAAGTACACCCAACACAAGATTCCAACACTAACAAATTCATTCCAGTAACACTTAGGCTAAATAAACAGATTCCCACCAGAGCCTGAGTCCTAGTCAATCTCATGCTGACTCACAGTTGGTTCAAGGCACAGGAGACCAGAGGCATCAATCTAATTGCTAGTGGTATCTTTTTTAAACAAAAACAACCCGCACTGGAAAAACTGCAGAAAAAAGACATAATATATATGAAAAATATAATATGTTTTATTATTATTATATTTTAAATTTTCCTTTTTTTAATTTTTATTTTCAAAGTGTTTAAAAGATATGGAATAAATGGAAGATGCACAAATATGGAACACATAAGTGTGTATATCTTAATTTTTATTTTATTTTATTTTTTTACTTTTTTTTTTTTTTAAGATAAAAAGATTGCTTTTAGAAAATGACCTATCTTTTAATTAATGCATTAGTGCATTTATTGTGTGTTTATTAAAGAACTTTATCAAATTTCATTTTTCATGAATACCATGAGATGTTTTCATTTGGGTTTATATAATCATTAAATAATGTGTGGTAATATCCTGAAGTCACACCGAGACTTAAACATTCAGCACGTGAATCACAACAATGGTAACAATTCAATTTCATTTATTTTC